TTCTTTTCACTTCTTCTGAACTGGTTCAAGAACATTCTTTCTTAAGTTAATAAGTTCATTAACTTCTGTAACATTTGGAATCATAATTTCTGCATGTGTCTTAATTCCTTCCTTAATAACTTCTGCAGTAGCTTCTAAGAATGCTCTAATTTGCATTTCATAAATTTCTGGATTAGTAGTTCCAAGTCTAATTCCTCTATGTCCAATCATTGGATTAACTTCCATAAGTTCTTTAACTTTCTTAAGAACAACTTCTTTTTCTGCAAGTCCTTCAGTCTTACCTGAAAGTTTCATTTCAAAGATTTCTCTCATTAACTCTTCAAGAGTTGGGAGGAATTCATGTAATGGTGGATCAAGAAGTCTGACTGTAACTGGAAGTCCATTCATAGTCTTCAATAATCCAATGAAATCTTGTTTTTGAAGTGGCATAAGTTCATTAAGATATTTCTTTCTTTCTTCAAGTGTATTTGAAAGAATCATCTTGACAACAATTGGAAGTCTTTCAACTGCATTGAACATACGTTCAGTTCTGCAAAGTCCAATACCTTCAGCTCCAAATTCAAGTGCTTTTTTAGCTGCTGATGGAAGATCAGCATTTGCAAATACTCCAATCTTTTTAATTTCATTGGCCCATTTTAAGATAGTTCCGAAATATCCTGACCCAACTTGTGGTTCTTCTAATGGAACTTCTCCTTTATAGACACATCCAGTTGATCCATCAATGGTCAAAATATCTCCTTCATGAACTTCAAGAGTTCCAATCTTAGCTACTTTCTTAGCAACATCAACTTTAATTCCTTCAGCTCCTGAGACACATGGTTTACCCATACCTCTAGCAACGACTGCTGCATGTGATGTTTTTCCTCCTCTGCATGTTAAAATACCTTCAGCAACAAAGAATCCATGAATATCTTCTGGTTTGGTTTCTTCTCTAAGAAGAAGAACTTTCTTTCCTTTAGCTTGTTCAACTGCATCATCTGCATCGAAAACAACAGCTCCTGTAGCAGCTCCTGGTGATGCTGGAAGTCCTTTAACTAATGGTGCTTCTGAATAATTAGCTGGCATATTCTTATGAAGTAATTGATCAACTGATTG